CCGGTATCTACCAAAGATGCTTTTAGAGTGGTAATGGCTTTAGTTGCACAGCTTGATCTTGATCTTCACAGATGGATGTCAAGACTGCGTTCTTGAATGGCGATTTGTATGAAGAAGTCTACATGACACAACCTGATGGTTTTGTTGAATCCGTTAAAGAACATCTAGTGTGCAGATTAAAGAGATCCATCTATGGGCTAAAACAGGCCTCTAGGCAGTGGTATCTGAAATTTGATGAAGTTATCACCTCTCTCAATTTTGTTGAGAATGTCTCAGATCAGTGCATGTATCAGAAGTTTGATGGAAACAATTTTGCCATTCTTGTTCTCTATGTTGATGATATCTTATTAGCCAGCAATTCAATAAATTTCCTCAATAAGATAAAGCACCTATTGTCTTGCCATTTTGACATGAAGGACATGGGTGAAGCCTCCTTCATTCTTGGGATACAAATTCATCGTGATAGATCTCGTGGTATTCTTGGTTTATCACATGCCACTTATATTGAGCGGGTACTTAAGAGATTCAAAATGGATTCATGTTCTCCTTCACCTGCTCCTGTACAGAAAGGTGAGCTGTTGTCAAAGTTACAGTGTCCCAAGGATGATAAGAAGAGGGTTGAAATGAGAAAGATACCATACGCTTCCGCTGTTGGCAGCCTTATGTATGTTCAAGTATGTACTCGACCAGATATAGCCTTTGCCATTGGAGTACTGGGTCGATACTTAAATGATCCAGGTCCGGATCATTGGAAGGCTGCTAAGAAAGTTATGAGGTATCTTCAAGGTACAAAAGATCATATGTTGACTTACAGAAGGTCAAATTCTCTTGAGGTTATTGGGTATTCTGATTATGACTTTAAGGGATCAGAAGATGTTGAGATTGTTGGCTTTTTAGATTCAGATTTTGCCTCTTGTCTGGATGATCGTAAATCCACGACTGGCTATATTTTCATGTTGTCTGGAGGAGCTGTCTCTTGGAAGAGTGTGAAACAGACGCTTACGGCAGTTTCATCTGTGGAAGCTGAGTATATTGCTTGCTTTGAGACTATACATCACGCTATATGGCTGAGGAAGTTGATATCTGGCATGCACCTAGTTGAGTCAATATCACGTCCTCTAACCATTTATTGTGATAACAAATCTGCAGTATACTATGCTAACAATCACAGAAATTCTAGTCGTACAAAGCATTTTGATATCAAACTTATGTTTGTGAAAGAGAAAATTGCTGAGTCTCAAACCCGTGTGGTACACATTCCTGGCATGCAGATGCTTGTAGATCCGCTGACTAAGGGCTTACCTGTAGAAGTTTTTCAAAATCATATAACTTGTATGGGTATTGTGAATTCCTTTGATGCCCTAATTTAGTGGGAGTTTGAGAACCTTTTATGTTGCAATTTCTCCTTAGGCTTTATTTTCTTCTGTGAGTTATATTCAGTTCAGTTGGATGCGTCTATATCATTTGTATCCCTATAGGATTTAATGATTTTGTTGTGGTACGCTATGCATATCACTTGTTTCCCCATAGGATTCAGTGATTTTGTGGAGTTTCATTTTCTGAATTTTATTTGTGGCTTATTTATACAACTTGCTTAATTAATGCAATCCAAGTGGGAGATTGTTGGAATATTATTTATGAATTAGCATTAATTAATAAGCACAATAAATTGGTCCTTATGGTCTTGTGTGGACCGTGATAGGTGGACCACACAAGTGAGCCAATGGGCAGAGGCCCAACCCACAACCCAGTAGCCATCAGCTATTTCCTATCTCTTAACTGACTGAGTCAGAGATAATAGATAATATAATTATTTAATTATTTAATAAGGCAGTTATCGATCTGATCTATATAAGACGATTAGTCGGTAACCGCAAATACACGACTCATTATTTTACCTCTATTATCTCTGAACTCTCTGAAGGCTCTGGGGACCTGTGGGTTGTGTACCTGCCTATACTCGAGGTAACCGAGATCTCTCTAGCACTCATGGATTCTTCAGGTACGCATACATTACTTTACTTGTCTATATGAATTGAGATATTCAGAATCAACACATCTTTCATGGCACAACTTGTCACATTTTTCCCATTTGCATCTTCTCGTACAATATTACAAAAGCTCTTCATATTAAATGAACACAACTTCTAAGACCCTGTAGGAGATATTGGAGATTGAGATTGTGATTAGGAAGACTCAACTAATATTTTAAAAACTAGACAAGACAACAAACGTGAAAGGTCAAGGAATTAATGTTCTCATGGTTAATTCCCAACATTGAATTTTAACCCGAAAAGAAATTGCAACAGTATATCCAAACGTAAAACTGGTAACCCAATTTTTAAAGTCAAGTTGCTCAGGGGATACGTTGGAATGTCTTTGTGAATTTCACACTAAAGTACAGTACATCTTGTGTTATATTGTTAAGTAACTTTACAAATAAAAACACTTTGACCCTTAAATTTTCTCTTTTTTATTTACATGTCAAATTCAAGTATTATCTAAGTCAAAAAATATTTGAAACTTTATACTTAGCTATTATAATTCCTAATCAGAATAACACTAGATGGTTCTTTTTCTTTTTCTTTTTGTTTATGAATATAAGGAGTAGATTCTGGAAAAGAAATTATATCAAATAGGTACTGAAAGTAAAAGATAAACCCCTGCCAATTAAATTCTTATATATTGAAATTCAACCCTTCAATTAGTTATTCAAGTGATGAGAACCTTTACTGCTCACCATACCTCTACCACTCACACTAACTAGTTAGTGATTCTTTCTATTTTAAGGTAAATGCTTTTTAACCAACTAGCAAAATCTATGTACACTCCAACTCAGAAATCATTATCAAATTTCCTTCCTTCTAAATCACCCCATTATTTTCATTGATAAAGGCAACAAGTACAAAAGTAATTAACACTTAAGTAAGACTCGAAAAGCACTTTGAATTTTTTTTTAAGGAAATATTTAAGATACCTTGCTCCCATCAAGAAAATTTTCTTCCATGTCACTTATCTTATATGACTTTAGATAATTGCTTTGTTAGGATTGCTAACTTATCTTTAAGCATATATATATATATATATATATATTCCCTCATATTCTTATTATTACAAGACACTTTCTAGAAACATTTTTTAATCCTTAATATAAGGTATGCTATGAAATATTAATTACATTTTTCAAATATTACTCCTATTTAAATTCATTAACTATGAGAGAAAATGTTATACAAATATGAAACAAAAATTCATTTAAATAAAGGTAAAAATTAAATTTTATTCTATTTTTAAAGAAAATTAATAACTTAACCACTTTTCTTTGGTTGGTTCTAATAAAGATGTTTTATAATAAGGATAGGATAGAATTAAGTATATTCTTTTCGAGCCACAATATAAAACATTTTTTAGAAGCCTTATTTGATCTAAGAGCTCAATTGGATTTCAGTTGGATATAATTGATTATAAAATAATTGATTAATATGACTAATTTTGATTATAATTAATTATATTATAACACAATATGTTTGAATAATGTTTTTTTGAAATTAATTTAATATAATTGAATATGTTTGGATAATTTAGTTAGAATCAATCTTAGTTGTACAAATTACCATGAAGGAAATTGTTTTTCAAAATTAAACTATTGATAAATTTATATTTAATATTATTAAATTTTTTAAATTTTATTTAAGAAATAAAATATATTATTTAAATTATATATCTGATTAATTATAAAATTATAAATTATATTAATATTACGTAAATAAATAACTTTATATATTTTAGTTCAAATAAATTTAATAAAATAGAAAAATTTAGTTCTTAAATACCAAACATTAATTTTATAATAACTAATAAAGATGATAATATACAAATTAATCTCTAATAACATTACGAATATGAGTCATATTTGATGAAGATGTTAAACACTGACTTGAAATTTTGGCAACATAAAAATATAGTAATGTAACAAATGACACAATCTCTCTTTCTCTCTGAGCCTTTGCAACAACCTTTATAATAATTTTAAATTTTAAATTAAATTAAATTAATTTTTCTCTATCAATTAATATTTTATTTAAATTAGTTTATAGCAAATGTTAAGTGAAGTGTGATGGTTGGCAGAAATATATACTAATAACTTTTTTAAAAATTTAAAGTTTGAATTTTATTAAGACAAAAAAAAAAAAGAAAAGAGAGTCTACATTTATTTTTATTAAATTTTATACCCTTTTCATAATTTTTTTCTTGAGCTTTTCTTATAATTCTCTCACATACTTCTTGATCAGATTTTGTTTTATTCTCTTCCCTTCTCCTCCGAAGCCCAGGAGCTCAGAGACAGCTTACGAAAAAAATCATTTTTTTCTCTCAATAATCGATTATCTAATTAAATTGGTGTTTAGGCAATTTTCTGAAAAATCAATTTTTCAAATAAAAAAACCAATTATTTGACTAATCCGAACATGCAATAAGACATGAAGCAGTAGGTAACTTTAATAATTATTTTTGCAACTATAACCCTATTACTTTTTGAAAAAAAAGACTGATACATTACAATTTTAATTATCTTTATCAAAATACTAATATAAGATATTTAACAAGAATATTAAAAAAATCTAAATTCCTTTTTTAAAAAAGTTTCAACTAATATTTTTATAAAACTGTCAACTAGTTACTAATGTCATATATTTTAATCCAAAAGAAATATATGTGTATATACATCTATATATATATATATATATAAAAGCTGAGGTTGTTTAAGTTCTCTCCCATTGCTATAGCAAGAGCTGGGACCCAACACGCAGACAACATTCAAGAACACAGAAACATGTCCTCCTGACTCGCACGGGTAAGCAACACCTTTTTGCTCAAAAAAAAAAAAAAAGCAACACCTTTGCTTTCATGGCAAACACACGTTCTTGTCCCCTCCAAAGACCTCATTCACACCCATCATCTACACCATTCTCTTACCAAATCATTCATAAACACATAACATGTATCACCATAAACTTATCATTGACCAAATCATTCTCTCCAACTACACATCACCACCCACACACACACACCTATAACAAAAAGAGGTACATGCACCAAAAGTCTGAGTCACCACATAATGAACAATAATATCTACTGGTAAGGTCTCACACACACACACACATGGAATGAGGAAAAGTTAAATAGCTAAGATAAATCTCAGATCAGATAACATCAATATAGTCCCTCAGCCTCGTATGTCATGTTTATCTAATATCATGCAAAATGGGGCAAGAGGCTTGGCTCTCAAAAGCCTGAGAAGAATATGGCTGCAAGTATGCAGACAAGCAATGATCCTGCTGAAATTGGAACCATGGATGGTGCTGAGTTTCCCGGAGATGGCACCGGTGCTGCTGTTGGAGATATCTCGCTCGTGGCCCCTGAACCAGACATACCGGGCACTGCAGCTGAAGATGATGGAGACATGCCTCCAGAAGAAGGAAGGAGCACATTAGATAGAACCACCAATAATGTCAGATGACAAGCTCAGTTTGTCATGTTGTAAAGGATTAATTCTACAAAGAACTCTGTCTCTCAAGAAGTTCAACTTTCTCACTATTCAGTTCATGTTGAGATTCTAACTCTAACTAACTAATTAATCTATCACAAAGCACATCTAATTCTGGATAAACTCTTCGTAGAGGGCCAAGAATATTGATTAGCATGTAAAAGTTGGCCTTGTTGAATGTTAAGGACATTGTGTCAATAAACATGATCAATTACAAAATATTGTGTTTCAGTGTATCTTGAATTCTTGATCATATCTTTATTTCATTGGCACTCAAGATTCTTGTTATTTGCTATAATACACAGGAGAGAACAATCGAAAATTGATTACTTCATCACAATCAAAAGAGCAAAAGGCTAAATTCCAAAGGACTGGGAAAATGTGAAGAAGACAAGAAAATAATACAGAATCAGATTCGCCTCATCTTGACTAGTATCAATTATCTCATAGTTTCTCATCATTTGCTTTAGAGGTAGGCCCAATTACATTAAGCAGATGCAGACATGAAAGAAATCTGTAAGGCACAAGGGCAAATCATATCAACATGTGTGCGTGTGCGTCTGTGTGATATCAAGTAGATAGTGAGTAAAAGAGAGTGAAAGTAAACCCAGCAATATAACGTGATGCCTTAATATTTTGGAGCCATTCAAATTTAGTAAATGTCATATGACTTCCATTTAATTTAATGTTAGAACTAAATAAAATGGTAGAAATCGCATGAAAATAATTTAACGAAGACTGGGAGAATCTACCAGGAGCAGCAGCAGGAGTTACAGACACTGCAAAACAACAAAACCACAGTTAATTAGTATCTGTGAAGAATCTAGAAATATATAAAACACCAAAGCAAACTCACAAACAAATCAGTCATCGCAGAAATGGACTTTTTGTTATATTTGTTTCCATCAAGTATTTGATCCCTACATTTTAGGTATGCAACAGGAAGAAATTTTCCCCATCACAATGTCCCAATATCCCATGGACCATCTCAAAATTCACAAGAAATAATTTATGCTTGTAAGTAAACCCATAAAAAAATCCTACTGTGAAAAGCTCGAGATCAGTTCTTCATATACCCATGCATAAATGCCTTTTTTTCCCAAAAAAAAAAATTAATCAAAAAAGGGTTGGGGTTAGGTAGAAATCTAGATTATACAAGGAGAGGATGAAAAATCAAGAATAACGCACTCAATGTGCAATTCCAAGAGTGAAGATATGCTAACGGGTATCAAAGACAAGAATAAAAATCAAAGCTTTCTGCAACAGAACAGTACAGAACACCGAACAATTCTAAGAAAATACTAACACAGACTTACTAATCACCTCAAAAACAAGAAGGCACAAAAAGAGAAAACAGAGAAAACCCACATGAGAGAAAGAAGAAGAAGAAATACTCACATCCACAGCTAGAAAAATCAGGGGCAGAGACTTTGCAAGCCGCAGGAAGAGTCAAAGCCTTAGTGACATTCAAGGTGACACCCAACTGAGAACTGCTCTTGAATGCCTGACAGATACAGTCAGGATTGGACTTAAGCACAGTCTTGAAGCCAGAGCAGCACGAACCCTGTGGCTTGGTGGTGTTGCTTCCGCTAGAGACGAAGGACAAGCAATCCACCATGTTCGTTATCAGGCTCGAACAGTCCGGGGCAGGCGACGGCGCGTGGTGAGCAGAAGACGACGCGCCGTGAACCAGAGCGACGGCCCAGATGGCCACAAGGCAGAGAATGAGGGAGGTCTTCGCTGCCATTAAGAGAGAGAGAGAGAGAACAGAGAGAAGAAGTGTGGGAAATGGCAATGTGAGGTTTGGGAAGTGGAGGAGTTAAAGTAAAGAAAGTGGGAGAGATTAGGGAAGTAATGGGGTTCAAGACGAATAATTGGAATTTGGAAAAGCTTGGATTTTTAGAGAGGGAGAGAGAGAGGGGGGGGTGCGCTGGTGTTGTGCCTGTGAAGCGTTGCCTTGCCATGCGGTCACCATAGAGCCGGTGAGATGAAATGCGTTTGTCGACGTGTCACACAATATCACTCTCCATAGGAGAAAATTATTCTAAAAAAACAAAGTATGGCTGTCTATTTTTACCTCATTAAGAAAATCACTTTCAACCAAATTAATGCAGTAACTTTTCATTTTCTTTTAAAAAATATTTTTCTCAAAAATCAAAATACTATCAACTAAATAAAGGAAAATGTTAGCCTCCAGTATGGGGACCTCCATCGACACTCAAAACTAAAAGAAGTATTATTCTCTTTTCTCTTTTCTTTTTCCCATCCCAAATTCTTGCAAATGAAATGAAGCATAAAGGCAATACGTAGAATCGATGATTTAGGTAGACTTATTCGAGTTAAATTTAAAATTTAAAAAATTTATATAATCAAGTCTGATACTAACACTTTTAAACTTTAAATTTATTTAGATTAGTCCAAATACCTGAAACTTTTTAAAAATATTTGTTTATTTTTTAAATCAATTTTAATTTTTAAATAATTCTGTTAAATACAAAATAATATTTTGACTTTAAAAGAATAAAATAAAAAATAATAACTTATCAACTTTTTAATTAATTAACTTTATTACTATTTTGTTATATTATATGTAATTTATTCATAAATATTTTCTTTACTTGCAAATTAATGTCCTAATTATTTAAATATTACTCTTATTATTATTATATAAAATTATTTTATATATTTTAATTAAATTATGTTATGTTAATTATGATTAAATTAATTTTAATTTAATTACAGTTAAACCACTAACTTAAAATAATTGCCTTTAGCTCAAAGTTCTTAATAACTTTTAGATAAACTATACCTTTTTAATAATATAAAAAAATTAACCATCATTATATTATATAAAATAAAATTATTTAATTATGAGTAAAATGCTATTATTTTAAAATTATTTTTTTTAATTTTTTATATTGTTTAACCCCTACATATAAGTGATATTTAATAGTTTGTTCTTAAATTTTAGCCAAATCTGACATAAACGATAATCAAATAATTATTTAAAAATATTATTCTATTTATTATATTTATCTAATAGTAGATCGAGAATTCATGCACAAATTTTATTTTTAAAATTATTTTGAATTTAATTTTTACTTTAAAATTAATTTTTTTATAAAAATATAAAATATATTTTTTGGATACTCAAATGATGTATAAGACTCAAAAATTTTTTTAAAAAATAATTGAATCTTAAAATATAAAAATTAATATTAAAATATATTTTAAATATTATTTTGAGATATTTTATTCATTAAAAATAATGAAAATATAAATATTTTTAATTTTTTAAAAAATAATTATAGTAATGCCTTCAAATATATAGTATTTTAGTATAAAATGACATAAAATTTAAAAATTAATTAATATTTATTATATTTTAAAAAATTATTACTATTTATTTGGATATTCCAGCCAAGCTTGAATTCGATTGTGTTTGACCTGAATTTTTTCGAGCTCGAACATAAAAATATATTTGCTTTTGAACCGTCCCCAAAATTTTTTTGGCAGGTTTGGGTTTAATCCAAATTATCGACTCTAGCAATACACAACTATTTCTATAAGTGTTTTTTGAGTTTAAAAATACACTTTAATTTCCATGAGTTTTAGGACCTAACTGAGACCTAAATTTTTGGAATAATAATTAACAAAACGAAATCTAATCCAGTTTGGTAGAGTGAAATTGGGGGTGGAAAAGTGAAAATAAATGTGAAACCCAAAAAATAGGATGTTTGGTATGCTAGAACCCATTTCTGAGAGGAAGCTACTTTCATAAAAAATGACGGCACTCAATTCCTTCTCCATACCCATGAAACTTGGTTCCTCCCTCACTTACTTCCTCATTTGCCATCTTTGTCCTCTTCAAGCTTCTCCCCTCACTCTCACTTCGAATAGATGCGACGGTGCTTCAAGCTCACTAACCCTCCACCGGTGACAGTGACAGTCCTCTGCCAACAATGACGACCACGGCACTTCGCCCAGCAACAACTTTCAGGTCTTCATCTTTTTCGGCGAAGAAAATTGGGTTGTAGATGTGGGTATTTTGCTCTCAAATTTCATTGCCTCGCTCTCATTCTTGAACGTATTTGCTTGCTAACCATTGTGCACTTCTCATTGTCAGTCTCATTGAAATTAATTAGAGCTATATCATCGTTTTGATTTTAGCTTCGATTTGGTTCTTGTTACATCTTTCTCTTTTAACTATTTTTTGATTACAACTCAAGAGGCATATGGAACTTTCATAATCTTTGCAAAAGGACCACTGCAATATTTTGCGGCTACGGAATACTGTCATATTCCTCTCTGTTTTTTTTTCCCCGTCTCTTTGGAAGATTTTGTTCTCCATGGCGGTAGTGTCGTGTTTTTGTTGAATCGGCTATTTTTGTTCTCAAGGGTATATTAGTATTTTCAAAATATAAATACAATATTAAATAAAATTTTTATTCCAATTTTATCTACATACAAAACATATTTTTATAGTTCACTCCCACCTTCACTTCCATTAAAAAAAAAAACAATTATATGTACCAAACAAGCCACGAGGGGTGGCATGATGGATTTAGGAACCCAATCTCATTTAAGTAATTCTTAACCATCAACGAGTTTAAGTCTAGCGAAAAAATTAAACCTTGTTTCTTATTGCATATTTCATCTGCTCTTATTTATAAGTTATTTTTAGCACGTTTTATCAAAATTAAGAAAAAATAAAATCTTATTAAGTCTATTTAAAAATTTAATAAAATTTTAATTTTATCTAATATACGTATTTGAAAATAAAATATTCTGACATTTAATAACCTTTTTAATATTTAATAAGGGCAAAAAAAAATAAAGATGAAGACAATAATAATTGAAATATTCTATGAATATAGGCAAAAGAAATGCTATCTCTACCACAATGGGATAAGAGGAGTAATAAACTAAAGCTCAAACTCTCATTAAAAAATGTGCTTGTATTTAATATCTAGTTATGCACTGAATGATTGTCTTAAATAGAAAGATAGTTATGCTTAATTAACAAAAGTACTCCATTTGCATACTAAAAAAAATTACTTCCTCCATCCCATTTTACAAAATATTTTTTGGAGGTAATTTAATGTTTAAACTCAAAATATAAGACATTTTTAAGAAAAAAATTAATGATAACTATTTCATTATTATCCCTTCAATGTTCCACTTCTTTAGTAAAGGAAGAGTAACAATTAAGTCCCAAAAGATTAAATTAATGACACCTAACAAAATTATTCTTAAAAATAGTTATATCTATCAATTCAAATAATTACAAACAAAAATTATTATCACAGTTTAAGAGTTACATTTAATATTTGCAAACTTATTTTCTATTACAAATTTTGATTGTAGAATTATCTGGATCGATATTTTAAAAAAAATGGACTAAATTAAAATTTAAAAAATTTAAAATTAATTAAAACAAAGAATAGCCAAAAATAATAATATAAAAAACTATGGGCCATAAGACTTAATCACTATTTATTTGTGATATAGGGGTAACATTATACCATGTTCAAGTGCTAAAAAGAAATGTTATATAGCAAAATAATAATAATAATAATAATAATAATAATAAGATACCATATACTTCCGCGCAAACAGTGGAGAGGGAAAATTTCTTTTAATCCAACAAAAATGTTGCGTAGATATATGAATTCAACGTAATTTCCGAGTTTTTAGTTTTTTTTTTTAAATATATCATTCTGCCGTGTCATCTGCTCCTCTAAGTAAAACAATATTATGTTGAGGTCTAACTCAGATAATGTGACGTGATAACAAACAATAAATCAAAATAAACAGTACTTGTGGACTTGTGCTAATATTTTTCTTTTACGACATTAAAATGAGCTTATACGCCCTCCATATCACAATATAAGAGAAAAGTTGGGTGAGCGGAGCATTTGTGAGTGGTTCAAAATCTATTACTCAAATTATGCTTTTCAAAATTTATAAATATCATGGCTTGTTGAACCTTTATGATATTAATAATTTTATATAAAATGATTAAATTATCCCTTATTTAAACTAAAAAGATAATAAGTATGGCTCCATTTTTCTAATCACAATTGTTATTTAAATAATCTCAACTTTTATTCTATGAATATAAAAATAAACAATAAATTACAACTTTTTACTTGAAATTTATTTTATGATAAATAAATACTGAAAATAACTAATATCAATCATAATTTTTATTTAAATATTTACAACTTTGACTTTTTAAATCACAAAAATTAAACAAGAAATCACAACTTTTCACATGAAATTTTTTTTATCATTGAAGTTCAAGTTTTGAAAATAACAAGTTATAATTTTTATTTAAACAATCATAACTTTTATTTTGTGCAGCACAAGAATTAAATAAAAAATTATAATTTTCAACATAAACCTGGTTTTTTATTTCAAATAAGGGGCACTTTAGTGATTTAATATAAAATCATTAGTGTTAGAAAGGTATCTAAGATTTTCAAAAGAATTATAACATTTTGAGATGCCTCATTATTATTTGTATATTTCATTGAGTTTTTATTGTCATTTTCCCATTTTTTTAATTCATAAATATAATTAATTAAAAATGTGATTCATTGTTAATAGAAGAAACAATGTACAAAGCGTGAAAACATGGACAATAAGGATGAAAATAGGTTAAGTCAAGTTAGGTTTTTGCCAAATAAGTCTAAGCCTATATAGTATATTAGAAGCTTGAGTTTAGCCTGAAATCTATAAAAGGCTTTTTTTCAGAGCTCGGACCTAAGCCTATCCAAAACATGGTTTGACTTGAAAAATTGTTTAAAAGCCTATTTAAAGGTAGGTCTTTTATATAAGTTTACATAATAAGCTTTAAAGGTCTCATATATGTTATAAGATTATTAAAGGTTATATATGTATAACGTGATTT